GTTGGTGTGCTTACTGATGCAAACTTTTAGAAAGTATTTATTTTTCAAAGACAAACAAATTAGAAGCTTTATGTATTTCTATGCTTATAACTCAAGTCCTGAACAGCAACTCTTACCTCTGGTGGTAAATGGACTTCCATAGGCACATATGTTGGCCAATAACCCATTGTCAAGATATTCACAGTTAATTCAATATTCCCAGGTACATTCTGGTTCTGCATATACTGTAATAAGATCAACACACACACTTAAGATTTTAAAAATAGAAGTGCATACATTTCATGTCATAACAACAACCCATTCAAGAAGTTCCCCATTATAAAATTACATGCAAACACTGACTGTCCTCAAAATAAAAGGCAACTGTTATAAAAGGACTATAAATGAAGCCTGTATTAAATGTACTAGTTAACATTTTATTACAATGGCATACAAGGATCACGTGACCTTGTTAGAGGCATTATTGACTTAGATCATTTCTCACTTATGGCTGGGCTGTTTTAAGTAGAATCTCATCTCCATTCTTTTCCCCCTACCACCTGCAGTCCCCATCTTTGAGCCCTATGTGGCTTGGACCACCTTGTAGCAACCCCCATTCCTCACCCCACCAGCGAGCCCAAGTCTCCAATGTTTCATTTGCTCCACTGCCTGTTTGCAGGGGGTTACTCGAAGTGGGGAAGGAAGAAGAGGGGGAAAGGGCAAAGCAGATAAACTCTATTCTGTCACTACTATAGGACCATGACCCTACTGATCTTTCTCTTGTGTTATCCACTCTCAGTTCCTACCATGGCAATATAGTGGTAAAGAAGTCATTACTAAAACCCTGAGAGGAAAATCTAATTTGCTATCACTATTACCTATGCTCTTAAATATTTCAAAACCACCTTCTACCAATATCTGCAAAACTATGGCTCTAGCTTCTCACTCTCAATGTCCTCAAAGACCTTATACAATCATTCTACCACCTCTCCTCCCTCCCCACTGCCAGCTTTGAACATACAAATCACCAAGTGATTAGATACTAGAGAAAGCCCTGTTCTCGCGATCTAGCTACAGTTTTCCTTGTCCTGACTTCAGTCAATACATTTGTTTTTTTTTTTTGTTGTTACCTTGGGTATGCATACTGGGCATGAATTTTGAAATAGGGCAAATATACTTATATTTCTTTTTTTTCCTCTAATGAATATCATCTAAGCTGCTATGATGTATTTACAACAAATATAAGTTTCTACTTATCCTCTTCAGTGCAAATCATAGTAAGAAAATAACTAAATATACTTAAGTTTGAGAAATTAAGAGTTTAACTCACTTTTACCTGTTTGAACTGAATCATGATGTCTTTAGAAAGTTCCATGTCTTTAAACATTCCTTCAAGTTTGCTGGTGAAAGCAGCTCCACATTCTATTAAAGATGTTTATACATTTATAATATTTTAAAACGGTGAAAACAGAGAATTGAAAACATGAAATGTAAAACTTGCTTTAGTGTAAGATCTGTAACTATTCATAAGAATGAAAAAATCCTTACCCCAAAGTGTATGCCCCACTAATTCAGAGTCATACTCTTTAATCCTGTAGTAACCTTATCTACTATTTAGGCATAAGATAAATGGAAAATATTTATACAAGTAATAAAAACAAAAACAATGCTTTATTTTTTAAAAAAAACTGCAAAAGCTCTGGTTATGTACAATAGGTTGGAAACCTCATGAGCTTACTCAATTTACATTTTCTTCATATGAACAACAATTAATGAAAGAGGCAATTAAGTAGTAAAAACTTAAGCTAATATTTTCCCTCAGAAATCAAAGAAGGATAGAAAAAATGACAATCATACCATGTTTAAGTTTGGACAGCATTGATTTTTCAGCATCCACAGATGCACTCTTCCCCACTAACAGGCGCTTGGCTAAATCTTTCTTATAGAAGGCCTCAAAAACATCCTTACCTATGTTAAATAATAAAATACAACTTATAAGTTTCTAATAAAAAGTTCTGACAAAATTGCTGTTAAGTGCTTAATAAATCACACCTTTACTCCAAGTTATTTAAATTTATACATTTTACCCAAGTTCGTTAAATGCAACAGACATTAGGAGTAGATATTTATGCTGGACATTTCAAAAGTTCTTTGCTGTAAAGAATTAAGACTGCATTACCTTGTCTTTAAAAAACTTTAGTCAGCTGATGAATTTAGCATCAACAGAAATTAAAACAAGTAGCAAAAATCAAGCCTCTTAATAAGTGGAAAAGTCAAAGCAGAAGGCAATTAAGTAATATTCCTTAAGTACCCTAATGAATTAAATGCAACAAATATAACAGTTTTAAATATCTAACTCCCAAATATACTCCTTCCAGGTTAATTATACTTGATAGTTTCTCTGCTGAGTGCTGCTTTAAAAGAAGAATTTTAAAACAAAAACACTTACCATAGATAAATCTAAATATGATCATAATTTTATCCAACATTTTTTCAAGTTCTTCATCTGTAGCTTCTTTGTTGCCTGCACGAAGCTTTGAATCTACATACTTAGCTAAAGTGGGGGGGAAAGTTCATTGTTTAGTGATATTTAGTGATCATAAGTATCCATAAGGTACTAGGCACTATATATACCAAAATAGGAGTATATACTGAGTTTTGCAATGCTTCAGAGATATCCATGCATTTTTAAAAGTCTCCAAAGTCAAGGATATCAAGTGACTTATTCAATGTCACAGAACTAATAAATACCAGAGCCTGAACTCAAACCCAAGTCTTCTGGCTCTCAGTCTAATATATTTTTTACTTCCACTATCCTGATGCTTATTAAAATGTGGTATAGGTATCCTGGGGGAGGCAGTGTATACAGAACCATGCTAGAGTCATCAAAGCCACTGAAGATGGGAGGGAGGTCCAAGATGACAGCATAGGAAGAGCCTGAACTCACCTTCCCCATAAACACACCCCAGCTACAGCTACATGGAACATTTCCCTTTGAAAAACATCTTAAAACTAGATGATCTGTTCTTCACAACAAAAGATAAAAGGATCACATCAGGATGGGTAAGAGGCAGATACGACACAGATATAGCAACACACAAAAGGGAAAGATTTCACCAGACAGGTGCTTCTCTTCAACGAATAAGGGGTTAGTGCCTTACTTTAGGCACCCTGGCCCCAGTGATCTGTACCACAGATGAGCCCCTAGAACATCTGACTTAAATAACCAACAGAACTGTTTTCCGGGGATCCCAAAGTGCTGTAGGAAATGAAGATTCCACTCCTGAGGCTCTTGCGGCCTGGCTCACTCTAAGACGCAGCGAAAAAACAGCAGTTTGAAAAGCACCTAGGCTATATGTGAAAGATACACTTGCTGATCTCGGGGCATTATCAGCTGGAGGGGCAGGATATAGCTAATATGCTCCCTAGAGATTAAGGTGCTGGAGGACACCATCACTGCAGTTTCCATATAGCATACACTGGGGAGTTTGGATGTGGTAACTGAATTCAACAATACATTAAAAGGATCATATACCATGATCAAGTGGGATTTATTCTGGGGATAAAAGGATGATTCAGCATCCACCAATCAACATGATACACCACATTAACAAAATAAAGATAAAAATCATATGATCATCAACAGATGTAGAAAAACCATTTGACAAGATTCAACATCCACTTAAGACAAAAACTTTCAACAAAGTGGGTATAGCAGAAACATACTTCAACAAAATAAAGGCCATAAATGACATACCCACAACTAATATATTCAACATATTAGCTAAAAGCTTTTCCTCTAAGATCAGGAACAAGACAAGGATACCCATTATCCCCAATCTTTTTTTTTAAGATTTTATTTATTCATGAGAGACACAGAGAGAGAGGCGGAGACAAGCAGAGGGACAAGCAGGCTCCATGCAGGAAGCCCATGTGGGACTCGATCCCAGGACGGCGGGATTATGCCCTGAGCCATCCAGGCGTCCCAACTATCCCCAATCTTATTCAACATCATTACTGGAAGTCTAGTCACAGCAATTACATAAGGAAAAGAAATAAAAGGCTTACAAGATAGAAAGGAAGAAGTAAAACTGTCACTGTTTGTACATGACATGACACTATACATAAAAGCCCTAAAGACTCCATGGAAGAACTATTAGAATAAATGAATTCAATAAAGTTGCAGAATACAAAATACATTATATACTAATAACGAACTATCAGAGAACCAAAAAAAAATCCCATTTATGTCTGCATCAAAAAGAATAAAATACCAGGGCACCTGGGTGGCACAGTCTGTTAAGTGTCCAACTCTTGGTTTTGGCTCAGGTCATGATCTCAGGGTCATAAGATCAAGTTCTGTGTTGGACTCTGCACTCAGCGCAGAGTGAGTGTACTTGAGACTCTCTCTCTCTTTCTCCCCGTTCCCACTGCTCACTCTCTCAAATAAATAAATCTTAAAAAAATAAATAAAATACCTAAAAATAAATTTTTAGAAAAGATTTTATCTATTTATTTGAGAGACAGAGCACAAGCGGGAGGAGGGGGCAGAGGAGAGATAGAAGCAGACTCCCCGCTGAGCAGGGAGCCAGATGTGGGGCTGTATCCTAGGACCCATGAGATCATGACCTGAGCCAAAGGCAGCTGCTTAGCTGACTGAGCTACCCAGGCGCCCCCTAAAAATAAATTTAACTAAGGAGATGAAAGACCTGTACATGGAAAACTATAAGATACTGATGAAAAAAACAGAAGGTGATACAAAAATAAATGGAAAAATATATTGTGCTCATGGATCGGAAGAATTGCTATCGTTAAAATGTCCATACTACCCAAAGTAATCTACAGATTCAATGTAATCCCTACCAAATTCCAATGGCATTTTTCACAAAACTAGGACAAGTAATTTAAAAATACGTATGGAACCACAAAAGATCCCGAATAGCTAATCTTGAGAAAGACAAAAAAAGCCAGAGGTATCATGCTCCCTGATTTCAAACTATACTACAAAACTACAGTAATCAGTGCTCACTTCAGCAGCACATGTACTAAAATTGGAAGGATACAGAGATTAGCGTGGCCCCTTGCAGGGATGACATGCAAATTTATGAAGCATTCCATATTAAAAAAAAACCCTATAGCAATCAAAACAGTATAGTATTAACATAAAAACATACATATCTATCAATAGAACAGAATAGAGAGCACAGAAATAAACTCATGCTTATGTGGTTAATTAATCTATGCCAAAAGAGGCAAGACTATACACTGGGAAAAAGGAGTCTCTTCAATAAATGGTATTGGAAAAACTGGACAACCACATGCAAAAGAATAAAACTGGACCATGATCTTATATCATACAGAAAAATTAGCTCAAAATGGATTAGAGACTTGAATGTCTTTTAATGGATGTATGAAGACCTGAAACTATAAAACTCCTAGAAGAAAACATAGGGTGTAGGCTCCTGAACATAGGTCTTAGCAATGTTTTTTTTTTCTTAATCTAACTCCAAATCCAAGAGCAACAAAAGCAAAAATAAACAAACAGGACAAGAAACTAAAAAGCTTCTGCACAGAAAAGGAAACCATCAAAATGAAAAGGCAACCTTTTTTGGGAAAAGACAGAATGAAGTTATTTGCAAATCATACATGCAATAAGGGGTTAATACCTAAAATAGATAAAGAACTCCTACAACTCAGTAACAAAAAATCCAATTAAAAAATTGGCAGACGATCTGAATAGACATTTTTCCAAAGACATACAGATGGCCAACGAGCACATGAAAAGATGCTCAAGATCACTAATCAACAGGGAAATGGAAATCAAAATCATAATGGGATATCACTTCACATCTGTCAGAATAGCTAGTATTGAAAAGACAAAAAATGTGTTGGTGAGAATGTGGAGAAAAGAGAACTCTTTTTTTTAAATTTATTTATGATAGTCACAGAGAGAGAGAGAGAGAGAGAGAGAGAGAGAGAGAGAGAGAGAGAGAGAGGCAGAGACACAGGCAGAGGGAGAAGCAGGCTCCATGCACCAGGAGCCCGACGTGGGATTCGATCCCGGGTCCCCAGGATCACACCCTGGGCCAAAGGCAGGCGCCAAACCGCTGCGCCACCCAGGGATCCCCGAGAAAAGGGAACTCTTGTGCACTGCTGGTGGGAATGCAAATTGGTGCAGCCACCATGGAAAACATTATGGAGGTTTCCTCAAAAAAGTAATAGAGCTACCACATGATTCAACAATTACACTACAAAGATAATGCAAACACTAATTCAAAAACATATGCTCCCTATGTTCATTGCAGTATTATTTATAATATCTAAGATAGGGAAACAATCTAAGTGTCCATCAGTGGATGAATAAGGAAGGGTGTACATGGGTGTGGGTGTAGTGGAATACTACTCAGCCATAAAGAATGAAATCTTGCCATCTGTGTTAACATAGATCCTAAGTGTTTTTACACTAAGTAAAATGCAGAAAAATAAGACAAAACTCTGTGATTTTACTTATATGTGGAACCTAAAAAACAAAACAAAACAAAATTCAGACTCAAATATAGAGAACTGATTGGTGGTTGCCAAGGGAAGGGGGGTTGGGGGGTGCCAAAATGGGTGAAGGGGATAAAGTACAAAGTCAGTTATAAAATAAGTAAATCATGGGGATGTAAAGTACAGCACAGGGAATATAGTCCATAAATACCATAACAACTTTGTAAGGGAACAGATGGTAACTAGGCTTACTGCGGGGACCATTTCACAATGTATACAAATATTGAATCACTATGTTGCAACATCTGAAACTAATATAATACTGTATTGTTAATTACACCTCAAAAAAGCCACTGAAAGACCTGGCATGTATTCTGGAGTGTCCATTTTACACTTAATGTTCTGCAATCTTAAAAACTACTTATTAAAACAAACCAGATACATCACAGAGTAAAAGGCAAAATCTGCCAAAAAATTTAAGGATAAGTAGTAGACCAATGAAATTCATCCTTTTGGCAGAAGACCCTAAACCTTCACCACAGGATACCTCTCCTTCTGACATTAAAGGGTAGTTTGGTGGGGAAATCTAAGAAACACTGCCATTTGTCAGAGCCTTACACTAAATGGGCCCAGATTATTAGGCTTATTTTTGTCCTGGACAGTTTTCCTTTCTCAGTAGCAACTGTAATTTCTTGCTACCCTTTCTTGTAGCACTAAGTGTGGGCCTCTGGAAGTAGCATCCTGCCCCATCTCTAAATTGCTATAGGCTTAGAAAACAGGTATCAAGCTTAGTATAAATAAAAGTAAATAGGGTTCAATGTATTATCTTACAAAGAAAGAACATTATGTTTGACATATAAACTTGAGATGTTCTTTACCTCAAAGGACTTATTCCTTATATCTAGGTTCTTAGAAACTACCACCTAATAAGCAACCCCAAATAAATGAGGTGTTAAACTACAACCTTGTCAAAATTTCAAACTGACTGAAATTTTATGAATAAAAGAACATTAAATAGATGGAAAAGAAAGACTGGAAAAATACCTATAAGTTCAGCAGGTTTGTTTGGTCTTTTGTTAATGAATGTTTCAAATGCTTCTTTCATGGCATTAATAAATTTTTCATTTTTCAGAAAACAAATATCAATTATATGGTCAACTTTATCTTTAAAATCCAGCAATTCTTGAACCATGGTCTTATCTTTTTCAGGATTAATTACAATAGTGCTGCCAAATGCCTAAAAAACAAAAATGACCACTTTTGAGTAGAACTGAATTAACTCTGATGAAAACAATTCCCAAATCATATTTTAAGTAGGTACACATATTTTTAAATTTCAAAATAATAAAACAAAGCTGTTTTTGAAATCAGGAAAAGAAAAATAAAGTGATAAAACATCCAGGCTGATAATCATTCATCTATTCATTCCTTACAAAATAAGGAATGACTCACTAGGTATACAGTACCATAATATTATGAGTAGGCTTTTGTCCCTACTTCTAAAGAAGTCAGGTTTGAAACTTTCTTTTTATTTTTTTTAAAGATTTTATTTATTTGTTCATGAGAGACACACACAGAGAGAGAGAGGCAGAGACGCAGGGAGAGGGAGAAGCAGGCTCCATGCAGGAAGCCTGATGTGGGACTCGATCCCGGGACTCCAGGATCACACCCTGGGCCGAAGGCAGGCACTAAACCGCTGAGCCATCCAGGGATCCCTGATTTTTTTCTTTTTAAATGGCCATCTGGCTTCAGTGTAAAACTGAAGAAAGGAAGGAGATTTGGGACCCAAAAAACGTCCCCCCCACATAGAAATCACCTCAATGAAATAACTTTTACTGCTGATCTGTTACATAGCTATCATTCTTAGTTTGACTGCCCTCAAAACTCTCATTACTTAAAAAAACCTGGATCTAACATGTAAGAAATGCTTGTTGATATGTACTGAGTGTATAGATTTATAAGACACAAGAAAAAGAACCCCACAGGTTAATTGTCAATACCTTAATATACTCAATCCACTGTTGCAATAGAACCTGAACTCCACCTCGAACTCTACTGAAGAGCTGATACAGGAGAGATAAATCTTGAATTCGGTTTTCATCAAGGAGGTTATTTAAACCTGAATTTTCAAACATTGAGGCATTAAAAATCGTGAACAAAAACGTCAGACATTTTAATGAAAATTAAGTTAAATTATTATTGTGATACCGCTATAAACTATTACTAGTCTATAAAATTTAATATAAAGATTTGTTTTCTATTAAATCCAAATAGATAAATCACCTTTCCAAATGAAAACTAAATATAGGGAGCTTTAAGCTTATATAAATACAAAAACAACTGTGTAATGGTTTGTGCCATTTAGCATGGCAGATCAGATATATAAACCAATTTATAAAAACTGATTTACTTAATACACATTACAAATAACTCACTCATATATGCAAGTAGCCATATTACATTTGACACTAATTAGTATACATAACTGTATTTCAGAGTATTGGATATGGTCTATGGTATTTCAAAAACCATGCATTAATAGGCCAAGTCTGAATTAAGAGTCTCAAGTATTTGATTTTCAAAATGAAATAATAGTGTAACTGTGTTAAAGTTCTAATATATCCATTTTATACAAAAGAAAAGATGGTTGGAGAAAGGTAAAACTTTTGACTATTTCTGGCACTGTCAAAGTAAAATTCAGGGCTTACCCATTAGATCACTTGGGATTAGGGGAAAGTGCTTGGTTTTATATGCTATGAATGAATACACTTTAGTGTAAAGAAAAATTCTTTTTTCTATCGTAGTCTTACATATTAAGTCAAGAATTCCCACATTCCCACTGTTTTGTTTTTATTTTTATTTTTTTTTACTGGTACTAGTGGACTCCTCTCATTCTCAGTTACTGTATTTTAAGTTAAGTCAATGAGTATCTCCTCAAAGTTTACCATGATGAATAGGGAAAAAAGGGTTGGGTCCATTCTCAGAGAAGCAGCCACAAAGTATCAAGCTTCTTTTTTTAATTTTTATTTATTTATTTATTTTATTTAGTATCAAGCTTCTTAAAAGGGCAATCCTTAAGAATTATTTTTTCACTTGTTTGCAGCTACAATTTTAAAAGTGATCTCTTTATTTATAAATTGGTCAATTACCTTTCTGAAGAATTGCTGTTAAGTGTTCACCTAGAAGTTGTTTTTCTACAGTAGCAATTAATGACTTCCTACAAGGAAAAAAAGTTTAGAATTACTGACATTTGATTTTGTTGAAAAAATTTTTTACGATTTTATTTATTTTTTTAACAGAGAGAGCACAAGCAGGGGGAGCAGCAGGCAGAGGGAGAGGGAAAAGCAGGCTCCCTGATGAGCAAGAAGCCCGGATGTGGGACTCAATCCCAGGACCCTGGGCTCATAACCTGAGCCAAAGGCAGATGCTTAGCCGACTGAGCCATCCAGGTGCCTAAACTCTACTGAAAATTTAAAGCCTCTAAGGGGGGGGGTCAAATATCTTGCTTCTGCTGCTTTTTCTTTTTTTTTTTTACAGAGAGCAACAGGGCACCTGGGTGGCTCAGTTGGTTAGGTATCTGACTCTTGATTTCAGCTCAGGTCATGATCTTGGGCTCATAGGATCAAACCCTGCAT